AATTATTGAACGAACTTTGAGTATTTGTGTTTGTAGTTACAGGACTTGTAAGTAAATGAAGTACAGTAGCTGTGGGCACTGCCGTGAAGGGTAGAGTCCTGCCAAGATAACTGAGTGGACTGTGGAGCAAAAGTATAGTCTGCTGCTGAGGCTATCAGAGGGGGTCAGGGTGTCAGTCCAGAATCTGTGGGGTCTGAAAGGAGAACTGGGCATGTGGCGTGGTCCCCTGTAGGGGGCGTCCTGTCCCAGGTAAGAAGAAGCCCGCTTCTGCCATGGGTCAGGGAGCCCCTGGATGAGGTGGGCGGCTAGAGGGAGGTTTGCACTGGGAAGGGCTGCTGACTGCTGGTGGAGCACGTAGCCCGATGGATGAGCAGGGCTGTCCACCAAGAGTCTGCTGGAGGCTGGCTGGTAGTCTGAGAAATTGCCACACAGAGAGGAAACTTGAGCAGCAGGGTAGGTGTTGGGTTGGTGATAGCGTTGCTGACGGCCGCCGAGTGCAGCGTTCACCACGTCACTGGCACCGCTAAGAGGCGGGCGCTCGGGAAGAACACTTGTGTGGGGGCAGACGAAAGGCTTCATGTCAGATCTGGAAAGTGTATGATTCTCTAGGAATTATGACTTTAGCTTGTAATTATTCATTTTAGGCTCCTACTACTGGTTCTTCAGTGAAAAACAGCTGACCATAGCAGCTGACTCTAAATTCTGACTTTTCCACTTTAACATACATCTATCATATAATCACCATTTCTTTTCTCTTTTTTTAAAGCTCTGGTGATTCTTCAAGAAAGCCTTCAGACTTTGGGAGTTTACAGCTTCGATTTTACACTCAGCTTTTGACACTTCCTTTAAATTATGTTTTTATTAAGACTATTTTATTATGGGGAAAAGGTGTTTGGAAGACTATGTGACTTGCATGTCCCATCATGTGTGTCGGTTCCTACAGTGTGCTGCCTGGTGTTGACACTGCTTTTTAGTCCTCTGGCCCCAGACGAGCAGCAGGAGGTCTGGGCAGGAGCAGGTGACCGATGGGGCCGGTGCAGTGCTTGCTAAGCACCTTGTTTCTGCAGCTACCTCGAGCCATTGTGGATTCGAGTGTGTGGCCTCCCGCTTCCCCAGGGAGGCCCAGACCATTCTCGAGTGTGCCGCACGCACTTGTGCGCACGGAGGGGTGATTTTAGCCACTGCTCACGACTCGGTGCTGGTGACCTGCAGGCTCACTACCAAGAGCAGTGAAACCAGAGACCGGCCTCGGCCCTGCCCTGTGCTGCGGGGACCCAGTGCCAACTCTGGTTGGCATGCGCTGTCCAGAGCAGTGGTCAGTTTGGTGTCACATGAAACGGCAAGAGGTCTGTGTCTCTGAAGCACGATTTGAGAGCCCGTCCTCTGGCTGGGCTTCTCCTGGGGCCAGGAAGCACTCCTTGCATCAAGGAGTCGCTTAAAGAGCAGAGAACCTTTTGGGGAAGCCGCCTCTAAACCCTCTCACATGTGGACAGCTTTGCTTGAGGAACTTCTTCCTTCTAGGATGGTGGTGTTACAGTCGAAAGGCAGTATGAAAGTCTATTTTCTTTACATGATGTAATGGTAGGCACAGCTGTGTGCCCCTTATATTCTGGCTGGACTCGGTGTAAACTCTTAACTTAAGAAATAAATGATGCCGTGCAAGAGGCCCACTTTGTCTGTATGCTCTTTATATCCTGGCTGGGTGGAAAGTGTCTGTGCAGATGTCCCTGTGTGCGGCGGTCCCGAGCGGCCCGTCCCAGGCTCCCCTCCTGGTGAGCAGCCTTATTGGGTGATCTCATGGTTTGTTAGAAAACTCAGAGGGGAGCCCTGGCCGGGTGGCTCCGTTGGTTGGAGCATTGTCCTATATACCGAAAGATGGGTTTGATTCCCAGTCAGTGCACATACCCAGGGTGTGGGCTGGATCCCCAGCTGGGGTACACATGGGAGGCAACTGATTCATGTTTCTCTCTCACATTGATGTTTCTCTCCCTTCCTCTCTCTAAAATCAATAATAATAATGATGATAAAAGAATGTATGTTTGACCCTGGCCAGTTTGGCTCAGCCATTAGAGCGTCGGCCTGTGGTCCAGAGAGACCCGGGTTCGGTTCCCGCTAAGGGCACGTACCTCGGTTGCAGTTTTTCCCCGGCCCTGGTTGGGTCCTGTGGGTGGCAACCACTCGATGTGTCCCTTTCACGTCGATGTTTCTCTCTCTCCCTCCCTCCCTCCCACTCTGTCTGAACAAAGAATGTAAAAGTGTTCGAGTGAGGATAAAAAAAAGAATGTATGTTTGAAAAAAAAGAAAACTAAGAGGGGGCCTTTCTTTTTACTAGGAACCAGAATTTCCCAGAGGACTCAAATTTAGGTTCTCGGCAAATAAAGGCGGAGATTCAGAGAAGCATGGGTGCCGTGTGCATGGTTTGGTCTTGAGAAGGGGGAGTAGATCTGTTGTTTTTGAAGGAGGCCACCCCTCTGCCAGGCAGGGATGTGCCCCTCCTGTGGCCAGGGAGCAGCCTTCTGCTCCCCCAGCCTCGAGTCCCGGTCGCAGTCCTGAGCGGTTTTTCCTTCAAAGTGAACTTAGTGGTACCGAATCCGCACTCCCTGTGGCACGTTGGTGACACTGCCACCCGCTAGCTGCTAACCGTCTCCTCTGCAGGCTGAGGCAGAGGCTCCGGGCTCGGCCGGTGCCTGTCAGTGGTCAGCATCATTCACTGATGTTTGAGAAACAGGATTGGGGAGAAAATGTTTTTAGCTCAACATTTGGCTCCTCCACCAGTGATCCAGAAAAGAAGCGGGTTCCCTTTTACCCTTCCACTCCTAGTCCACGGCCGCCCTCACTGCTGAGGCCCAGAAGCTGGTGCTCTTCCTGCTGACCAAGAGCAGCCCAGCTGCCTGTCTCCGTTTCTCGTGGGCCGAAATAAAATGTCTTCACTCACAGAGGGCATCTTGGTACTTTGAATGTGGCTGATTGGGTGGATTCTAACCTCTTCTAGCTAGTGGTCCCATCAGGCAGTCATCGGTTACTATAAAAGCCATTCCCCAAACAGGGCTCCGACATGCCCGGCGGTGACAGCAGCGCTCCCTGAGCAGTGAGGACTTGGCTGGGTGTCAGGTAGTTTGCAAAAACCTCGCCGTGGTTAGATGTTCCCACCTCTCCCTTTAAGAGTGCCTCAAACATCCTGGCCAGTCTGGCTCAGCGGTTAGAGTGTTGGCCTGCGGTCCAGAGAGACCCGGATTCGGTTCTTGCTAAAGGCGGCACGTACCTTGGTTGCAGTTTGTCCCCAGCCCTGGTTGGGTCGTGCAGGAGGCAGCCACTCGGTGTCCATTTCACGTCGATGTTTCTCTCTCTCTCCCTCCCACTCTATCTGAACAAAAAATGGAAAAATGTCCTCAGGTGAGGATAAAACAAAACAAAACAAAACAAAACAGAGTGCCTCAAACGACCAGTTGTTAGGTGCTGACCCACTTGCATAACCTTTGTAGAAAAGGACCCCGGATGCCTTTCCAGGGCTTGCAAAGCTCACCAACCCTGCCACCCGGCTGCGGCAATAAGACTGTACCAGGAACGAGGGCTGAAGCCAAGACTATACAGGAGGGCGGCCTTCCATGCCCAGTCTCCACTGACCAGTACCCAGAGGCTTTTTGGGGAGGAAACCTGGCATAGTTTCTGGTGTCCTTCAAGCACGGTGACCGGGGCTAGTTCTTAGCAGTCTGGAGCAGCTCAACTACAGCCTGACCTCACCTACCTTTGTGGAAACTGGCCATTTCCCGATCAGCATGTCAGGATGTGATGCCCGGGTTGGCATCAAGCACAGAGGCAGGAAAGGGGTGGGGAGAGGGTGTAATTTAAAATAGGGTGGAGAGGAAAGGAAATGGGAGTCAAGCAGCTGGGTGGAGGGGGCTGCTTTTTAGGCAGGGGAGGCAGCCAGTGCAAAGGCCCTGAGACAAGGACTCACGAAACAAGTTGGTCATTGTCACTGGAATGCATGAGCAGGGGCAGGAGGAGGCATTGCGGGCAGATGGTCATGTCATGGAGAATTGTGTAGACCACAGTGGGCCTTGATCTCAATGAAATGGGGAGCCTTTGAAGGGCTTTGAGCCCAGGCCTGTCCTGGTCAGACGCTGACTTTATAGAGTCTCTGCTGGTGAGGTGGTGGGTGGGAAATGGCAGTGCAGGACTCCTCCAGCAGCAGGAGGGTGCTTGGAATGGAAGTCAGCCCCTGCCGGTGTGTGGGAGACATGGTACCAGCCCAAGGATGACAGTGTACTGTTACTATCAGGTGTAGCACTTTGCCCCAAGGTACCCAGTCATTAAGGCAGAGCTGGACTGGAACCTGACCATCTGGCCTCCTTCCCCTTCATCTCTGTGTGGTAGGAGCCCAGAGCTGGCTAGGCCTCCTGGACAGAGGGGGACTTAGCATAGGACTCCTGACCCAGCTTCATCCAACTGGCTGGCCAACTGTCTTCGAAATGGCCATTCCTGCCTCAGGTCCTTGTAATGCATTCAAGAGCTATGAGAATCACAAGTTCCAGCATGCCAGGGCTGGGGGCTGCCTGTTTGCCCTGTAACCACAGTTACCAGTGTGCCTTGCCAACCGCAGAGGGGATGTGCTAAAATGACAAATTCCTTTCCGGCCCTGTCTAGCCAACTGCAGTCACTAGACCCTGGTGTGGGCAAGATGAGCTTCTTACTTCCCTTCTAGCTCAGCCCTGGTATAGTTCTGGCCAAGTTTGTACAGGTTTTGTCTGGAGGTAAGGTTCCCTGGGGATCACGCTAAGAGCAATTTCTTAGCCACATCCCAGGATCTGCTCAGGATGGAAGCCACAGGGGACCAGCCCATGTGTGTGCAGTGTTGCTGAAGGAGCAAGGAAGCCTGGTGCTCCCATGGCCCTCTGAGCAGCCGGACGGGTTTATTGGGAGGACATTGGTTCAGATAGAAAATCCCTGCATCCCCCAGGGAGAGTGCCAGCTTCATCCCTGCTCTCTTGCCCTCGGGGCCCTCACAGGACGCAGCAGGTGCAGGAGACGGGCCTGCGCTGCTGCAGCTGCCGCTGGAGCTGCTCCTTCTCCACCGTCAACGCCTTCACCCTCTCCTCCAGCTTGCTCAGCTCCACTGCCCACTTCTGAGGGGACACCATAGAAACAAATGTCCAAGCCGACATCGTCTCAGGTTCACACACTTTCCTCTCGGGGTTGAACTGATGGAGGAGGGCAAGGCACAGAGAGCCTGGGGGGCCTGCTAAAGGCCACTGGGCACCAGATGGGCATTCCTAGGTGAGAAAGCAAGGTCCCCTGATGGAGTCAGCCTGGGGTCTTGAGGGAAGCTGAGCGTCCCAGGCCCTGGGATGGCCTGTCCTCTGCAGCCTCCTTGAGTACCAGAGGCAGGCTCAGGTTGGCTCATGTCCCCTCTCTGTCCGCCCCTTGCACTCAATGCTTTTCTGCCACCTGACTTTTCCTTCTTGAAAAAGCTTCTCCTTGGGACTGTGTCCAGCACTCACTGCCCGCTAACTTGAGGGCCTCCCTGAAAATGTAGTGTACAGTCCTCAGGGTTGTCTTAAAACTTAATATCCTATTTGCTGGCTCCTCCAGCCACACAACAGTGGAACATGGGAGGTGGTAGGGTTATTTCAATTCAGCTCCTCTGGCACACTCACCGGGCAATGGAGCACCAAGGGAGACCTGAGGGTTCCCCCGACTGCTTAGTGAGAGTTGAAGAGGCCCAGGGCCAGCCCTGCACCCCGCCCCCACTTGCCCCGCCTCGGCCACTTACCTGTCTGCACCACTCCTGGATGGTGTGGACGGCCAGCGGGCCCTGGATGCTCCCGTCACGCCGCAGGAACACCTCCCCCTGGTCTGTCTCATAGAGCTGTGGCTCAGCCTGGGCCTTGGGGGCCAGCACACTCAGGCGGATCACCTGGGTAAGGGCAACAGCAGCTCCCGGGTGCTGCACCACACAGTACGCAGCCCAAACGCCGCCCTGCTTGCTCCTGGCTTGCGACTCCTGAGGGCAGCCTGGGGCTGGGGTAGGGCTAGTTGAAGTCTCTTTTCTAGCCACTGCCTGCCTGGCTTCCCCTTCGCTGCCACCCCCTGCCCAGCACTGCTCAGCAGTGTAGATGTGGGCCGTCACGTGTAGTGATGATGTGACTGATGACCTGCCCCGCAGCTCACCTTGAGGGGCGCGCTGCTGGGGGAGGTGCTGACCACGGGGATGAAGGTGAGTGTGTAGGCCTCGGGGAAGACCTGGGGCCTGAAGCCCTGCAGGATGGAGTCCACCAGCAGGCGCACTCGGTCCTCCTCGCGGTGGCTGCAGTGGATGCCCCGCACTAGCCCGCTGTCGTCCACGCCCACCAGCAGGCTGCCGCCCTCGCTGTTGAGGAAGGCGCACACGTAGCGCCGCAGGTGGTGCTTGAAGGCCAGGCTCAGGTACTCGCCGCCGCCCCTCTTGAACTCCACGTTGCGCGTCTCGCTGCCCAGGAAGGCCCCCTGGAAGAGCCGCTCCTGGCCCTGGCCCTCCGGGTGCACGATGGCACTGTCTGAGCGCGTGCCACGGGGTCGGTGCGGCGAGCTAGCCCACGCCCCGGCCTGCGCAGGCGGGGTGTTGGTGCGCCTGGCCGCTGGGGGGCTGGGGCTGGGGTGGGGGCTGGGGCCGCTGTCCTCCTCCTGCTGGAGTGGGGCAACAGTTGGGAGCCCTGACCAGGGCAGCAAGAGGGACAGACAGGCTGAACCCCACCACCACCCTGAGGTCCAGCCCACTCAGGTATCCCCATGTCCTCTCCCAGGCAGGGGGATGTAATTCTGCCCAAGGTCCTGCAGCTACCGAGGGAAACCCTGCTGAGTCAGGGTTGGAACCAGCCACTGCTCCTTCCTGGCTGGGCTGCCCTCTTCCCAGGTGGGCTGAGATGCATGGCGGTAAGAGCTCTTTCCTGGGCTGGAAGCTGGGACACCTGTGGGCCAATCTCTTCCCACTTGGTTGATAGACCTGAGGCCCAGGACTGTCACCAGGAGACACCTCAGTGCCCCGAGGTCCCATGTGACAGCTTCAGGTCTCTAAACTGAGAGGGGCTCCTGAGACCCCTCCCCCTTCCTGATCTCCCCGAAACCCTTGCTGATCACTTTCTGGACCACTGGCTAGTCCTCCTGAACTTCAGCTTCCCTCAGGCTCCCCAGGTTCCCTGCCATGGTTTCTGCTCTGTCTGGGGCCCCTGGGCATGAGCCCGGGCCACTCCCCTGGTCTGGGCTTCACTGGTCAGCCTCTCCCTGGACTCCTTGCCCCAGGCTCTCCCTGTTCCCCCATCCTCAGCGCTGACTCCAGATGCAAGTCAGACTGTCACTCCTCCCTTACTGGGTTCTCTGCTGCCTTCTGGGCTCTGGAAGAGGCTGGGAGCTCAGTGTGGGCTGGGGCTTGGTGATCAGGGGCATATTCTTATCAAGCCTGCAGTGCCCAGAACAGACAGATGGTTCAAAAATGAGAGAAACTGTCATACAAACATGAAATCAGGCTCACTGGTCTTAAAGTGAGTCACAGAGGTGTTTATTTCTGCAACAATTTAAACATTGTGGTGTTTCCACCCCAAAAGGAAAGAAAGATAAACCAGGATCACCTGTCTCATGGAGTGACCTGCACGGCCTCAGTGAGGTGACTGTTCCCTCACATTCCCCACAGAAACCAACATTCAGCCCCACTCTGCCTGGTCTCATCACCACCCTTGGTGGCCTGGCCCCTGCCTTCACTCTTCCTTAGTTCCTTCTGCAGCCCTCAGCCTGAGCTCCAGGGACACCAACTGGCCTGCCTACTGCGTATGTAACATCCCCTCATCACCCTGTTCCTTGGTACATGTCATGTCCCTCTGCCTGGAAGGCCTGTCCCACACCCTAAGTCCAGCCTGGATTCCACTTCCCCTGTTCATTTGTCCCCAGAGGGCAATGGGGACCCTCCTGTGCCCCCGCAGCTCCAGGAGGCCTCTGTGTAACTGTCACTGGTGGTGTCTGGCTCTACTCATAGACAGAGGGCTCCCCAAGGGCAGGGCTGAGCCCTTGTTCTCTGCTTTGCAAATTGGCACCAAGTGGCTGCTGGTGGTTGTCAACTGAAGGAAGCAGGCCAAGGAGAAAATCCGGACCCCTGTGGGACCTAGGGCTCGGCTGGCCCGGCCCCGGAGGCTGGGATGCAGATGCCCCCGGGAGGAGTCGGTCCCACACATCGGCCTTTCTGCACATGCTTCCAGGCTGGAGGCAAACTCTAAGGGTCATTGTCCCTCTGGGAGTGAGGGGGCAGCCCGTTTGCAGATCTGTCTCCAGTTTCTCCACGACACCCTCTGCCCCACCCAGTGCAAGCCATCCCTACCCAGACCCTGGCTGAGGTGCCAGGGAAGCCTCACCTCTCTGTGGTGTGCGGGCCCCCGGCCATCTTCCAACACCAACTCCTTTCCGCGGGCCACCAGCTCCCTGATGATCTGGTGCTCCTCCAAGGCTGCTTGCAGGCGCCAGGGGAGGGAGGCCAGGGCGTCCCTGTGGGTGGCCACCTGCACCAGGGCATAGGCCTTCCTCGGCCGCCTCACCACCTCGATCTGCTCCCGCGCCACCGGCAGCTCCAGCCGCTCCAGGGTGTCTCGGAGCAGGCAGGAGAGCACCGGCACCGAGAACTGGGGATTCAGGTGGCCCACGTAGAGAATACGGGTGCTGGGGGCCCCCTCCAGGCCTGAGTCCTCCAGCAAGGACTCTTCGGTGGGGAGCTCCTGCAGGGGCTGCTTGCCTGGGGGCTCCATGAGGGGCTCCCGTGCTTGTTTGTGCTGATCTCCTCCTGGGTCTCTGGAGGGGAGTCTCTCAGTAGGGCTTCTGGGATTCCTTACTGCTGGCTGCTCTTCCCAGGCCCTGGGCTCTCAGCTTGGCCCAGGGCCTCCCAAGGGACTCAAGGGTTGCCAAGGCTCCTGGGAGGTTCACAGATGGACAGGGGCTGGGAAGGGTCAGAGAGAGAGGGAGGCAGAGTAGCAGGAAAGGGCCTGCCACCCACCCCCCGCTGGGGACAGGAAAGAGGGGAGTCAGACAGGGCTGAGCTAGAGAACAGAGCATGTGAGCCTGCCCCTGCAGTCCACAGAAGGGAAGACTGAGGGGATATGCCCAAAGAAGGACAGAGGGGCCCAGGACTCAGGTCTCTGAGGGTCCCCCATATCCTTTCATTGGCCCAGGGGTCCTGTCTTCCCTCCCTGGTCCACTCAGGCCTCCTGGGAGCCATAGGGGTTTCCTGCTCACCAGAGATTACTGCTGCTTCCAGGTACCAGAGCAGCCTTGCCAGGGGCCTCTGGAGGGGACCTTACCCCAGGGCTCCGAGGCCTGACTGTGGCCCTACTGCTGCTTCTGCTTGTCTGGTCCGAACCTGGTGTGAGCCCAGAAGAGGCTCTGAAATGGCCAGGGCTGGGTCAGAGGGCTTCAGAGCAGAGGTTTCATGCTCTGGGCACACAGATGAGAGCTATGGCTTCTCCCCAGAAAAGTGGGCTTTGTGTATATATGGACAACTTGAGGAGGCTCGTGGACGCTTCTTAAGAACTAGTCTAGACTGAGCCCTCTGTTTCTGGTTCAGAGAGCAGAAGTGAGGGGGGCAGAACAAAGGCAGAGCTGGGGCTCTTCGTGTCCCTGTCCAGCCTCCTGCCAGGCCAGGAACCTCGCTCCTGAGTTGTGCACACACTAGCCCCTCTACTTACCCCACCCCCCACCCCCAGCCTCTGGGCTGTATGGCAGGCACCACCAGGCTGCATCTTTTCAGATCGGATCCTTGAGGTAGTCAGGGCCTGGGGGCCACCTCAGCTGGGTGGGGGCATTCAGGGCCAACAGGAATAGGAGGAAAAGGGAGACCCTCATGTCCTGACTGTTCCTGGGAGGGAGTGGGAGGTGCCAGCCCTGAGCTCCCACAGCTCCCTGATCCCTGCCAGCAGTTCCCAAGGGCACTTGGCGGCTTGGCATGGGGTGGCAGTGAGAACCAGGGCTGTAAAAAGCGGGCGGGGCCTGTACAACTACCTCTGTGATCTCATGAGAGTCAACAATGTCTTCTTGGCCAGTGTCAGGTACTCAGGCAGGCAAGGTTGGGAAGTCATTCAGGAGGATGCTTTCCCCCACCCCCACCCCTGTTGTAAACAGATACAGCTATAAGAGAGACAACCAGCGTGGCCCTGGGCTCCCTCTGGCAGCTCCCAGAACCCAGGGGCTGAAGAGGTACTTCCTCCCTCTGTAATGTCTCTCTAGGCCCAGTGCCCACACATGTTCCCTGGTGTCCTTCCTTCAATACCAATCCCAGGCCCCATGGAGCACTGACAGGGCCCAGCTACTTCCAGGATGGATCAGAACACACATCGTTGGCTCCAGGATCCCTCTGACCCCAGGCACTTCTCTAGGCCAGGGACAGAGGTTCTGTCCAGAAGAGCCCTGGAAAATAAGTCAAGGCCCTTTTTGGGAGTGCCCTGAATGAGCAGTGCAGCCTACCAGGCCCCACGTCCAGGAGTCTGTGGCAAACCGAGGTCTATTTGGTTTGGCAGCCCTGACCCTCTGGCTGCTTCACTGAGACCATGGTTAGAACCTCAAAGTAGCCGAGAGGAAAAGGCATTCTAAGTTAATCAGATGTCAGAACTAGTCACCGGTGAGAGCTGGCAAGTACTCCCTTCCCCTCAGAAGTCTCCTTATCCAAACCTCTCAGAGCCAGGTGGGCTCCAAGAAAGGAGATGACTGATCCAAAGCACCACAGCTAATAGCTAGCTGGACTGGCTGGAATTCAGCCTTGGCCCGAAGTCAGGTTACTTGGCTTGAAACGCTTACTCTAGCACTTCCTGGCTATGTGGTCTGAGCTTAACTGTCCTCATCTATAAAATGTGTTTGCTGTGAAGATTAAATGAGATCATTCTAATGTGTGTCGAGTTTTGGGGGTACACCGTAACACAATCGTATTAGTTACTCTCGGTTATACTGCACTGTGCTGCTGCCCCTCCACCTTCTTCAGCTGCCCCATGAGAAACAGGGATGTGGCCCTGGACCTGAGTGCCTGCCCTGGCCGGCACGTGGGTGAACCCAGCCATGGAGGCTCTGTGGAGCTGCTAACCCCAGAACTGCTCTTCCAGCTCGGGCTCACCAGCCTGTGCTCTTCCAGCTCGGGCTCACCAGCCTGTGCTCACCAGCCTGTGCTCTTCCAGCTCGGGCTCACCAGCCTGTGCTCACCAGCCTGTGCTCTTCCAGCTCGGGCTCACCAGCCTGTGCTCACCAGCCTGTGCTCTTCCAGCTCGGGCTCACCAGCCTGTGCTCACCATTGTCTTGCTGCACTGGAGCAAAGCCCTTTGCCTTTCTGGGGGCTACGCAATGCTGGGGCCCCAGAAGACACCTGGCAAATACCCTGTTCCCTGGGGATTGCTGGCAGAACTCAGGGAAATGCTCCTCATTTTATATGTGAGGAGACTGAGACCACAAGGAGGCACTGCTCTGCCCACTGGAAAACAGTGATTTGGGTGTTGACTGATTAAAAAGACACTGGCGCCTATACTGTTTTTTATTTATAAACAAACCGACATAAAATAAGTCCAGATGGCAGTGGGGCAGCTGTGTTGCTGACCTGCTTACGAAGGAAGCGTGTGAATAGTGCAGTGGGTGCAGCCAGACTCCAGCCTGGAGGCCCTTTCCTCCCACCCACTCTAGGGCCCTCTTAGCCTAAAATCATCAGCCGAGCTGCTGCAGCAGTTCTGGCCGGGGCAAGGGGCTGTGCTGGGGGACAGTGCGGGGCAGGGGATCCCCATTCCCACAGATGCGGCTGTGCTGCAAAGGGCCCAGTGGCGGAAGAAAGGGGAAGGTGACAGGGACCCTCTCCTCCTCATGCTGAATGATGTGGTCAAGACTTTATGGGTCTGTCCGTCCCACAGAGAAAGTGCCCTGGGACCAGGGCAGGGCAGTCTCTCTCCTCCTGAAACCCCCTGTTTGAAGTAACGAGTAGAGACTGAAGGGCTGGCCCGAGTGCCAGAAACAATAAATTAACAATAAGAAAGATCTTTTTTAAAAAAGTAGAGGTTTGCACTGTGAGCGTGGAGTCTGGGGATCTCCGAAGAAGGCAGGAGCTGTGGGGCAGTGAGGGCCACGCCAACCCAGCAGGTTGAGGGGACTGGGCACGGGTGTCAGTTCAGCCCCATCTTCCAAGGCCTCAGAGGTCAGCCCCTTCGCCACCACATGGCAGGTGTTGGGTCTGATCTCCTGGTGAGAGGCCAGCGGGCTTGGGAAATAAATAGAGGGGACCTCAGAGCAGAGGCAGGGCTGAGGGAAGAGCAGCGCCAGCCCTGGGCCCCTCACCTGCCCCCTCAGTCCTTCATGGAAGGACACGTTATGCCAGGAGGGTAGCAGTGAGGCTCCACACAGCCTCCTGCAGTCCTGAGGCGGCCCGAACGCCATGAGGCACCTGCTTCCTGAGAGGAGAACGCTGCCCCTGCCCGCTCACCCCTCAGCTGTCTAGGCCGTGTCTTCCTGCTCAGAACTTGCCCTGCTTCAGCCGGTCAATGTGGTAGGAGAGCTTGAGCGCAGGCCCCAGCTTCAGCCCCATGTACTTCATCATCACGTCACTGCGCAGCAGGAGCAGGGCCTTGCCATCGATCTCCTGCGGGGGTGGGAGGAGGCGCCATCAGAGGCCTGTTTGGTCCAACCAACCAGGAAGTACCAGCCGCGTGGAGTCCAGTGGACCTGCTCTGACACTAAAGCCCACCTGGTCTCCCACATCTGTCTCTAACCATCCCTCCCCTCAACATCCACTGCTGAGCTCACTGGGCTAAGCTCTCCACATGCCTGCACCCCAAATCTCTGCGATTTAGCTCAGTTCCAGCCCCCAGGAAGCCTCCTCAGTCAGTATACTTGTCACTTCTCACAGCCTGATTTCATACTGACCCCCACTGTCATTCTGAGCCCTCTTCCTTCCGGAGCGGCAGGGACTCTGTGTGAGCTAGACACAAAGCAGGCGCTTACCGAGCAGCTCCGGACCTTCAGCCTGAGCTAAGAGCACCCTCCAAACCACCTGGCATGGGAGATTTAAGTGACCAGTGAAAGGAACACATCTGTTTCCAGTGCCCAAGGGCAGAACCGCACAAGCAGCAGGGGCTATGGGGAAATGGCTTTGCGCCCCAAATCAGAAGTATGGTCAGTGCAGGGGATCAAGAGCAGTCCCTGGCCACAGGGCCAAAGGATTACTTGAAGAGATGTTTGAGGGGCCAGTAGAAGATGAGGGACTGAAGAGGGTGGAGAGTTGGGGGCCACTTGGCAAGGGATCCTAACTTGGGCTGAGGCCCGATTCTCAGGGCAAGGCAGGCAGTGTCCCTGACGCTGAGCCCCAGGGTGCCCACCCAGTAGGAATGGCTGCATTAGACCCCATGCTAGGGAGTAAGTTGAACTCAATGCCCAGTGAGGGCTGAGACCCAATACTCTGTCCCTAAGTTTGTGTTGGTCTCCTGGGCTCAGTTTCAAGGGACCTGGAACAAATACATAGCCCAGGCCCTTAAGAGTCTCCAGGCTGCAGAAGCAATACTCTCAGCAAACGAGAAAAGATCAGGCAGGGACACTTACGTGTTTACGGAAAAGGTCAGCATGGGGTCCCAGCTGAGGATCAGTTTCCCGAACAAACTGCATCACATCCTCGACTGTCCATGAGGAGGGGTCCCGGCCACTTAGTCGAGATGCATCCCGGTTTTCCAGGTACCGGTCCGACCCTGCAGGACAGAAGGGCACCTGCTGTCACGAGCGGGGACTGGGCTGAACTCCAGACCACTCTGCTGGGCATGTCGTGAGAGGCCCCGTGGGCAAGGCTGACAGCTTCGCCAAAGCCGAGGGACCAGAGGCTGTGGCAAAGGGGAGGGTTATCCACAAAGGGTCTGAGGGGCTGACTCCTCTCAGTCAAATCTTTGCTCTGTAAGAGTAGATCTGATTTTGAAAATATTAAGAAATTTTACATTGAGGCTGTAATTCATCCTGGACTTGAGTCGGGGTAACAATGAGGTAACGGGATTACTTGGGTTCAGTGTGGGGCTGGTGGTGAGACTGCTTTAGCCTTGGTTCTGGGGACCATTACTAGAGAGACCTCAGGAACTGGGCAAGAGTAGAGACGAATCTTTGGGGTCCAGAGAGAAAAAATGGTGGATAATGCCCCGAGCCTCTTCCAAAGCCTGGGAAAGAGCTGACCTCACCACAGCCTGATGCACAGAGGCAGGCGAGCTTTGCTTTGGCTTCCAGAGTCTCAGCGTTAATTCAGTGCTCTGCTCAGAGCTCATGTCTCAGTCATGGCTCAATCACAGCTTCTCCATTTGCCTGTGGGATTTGGGATCTCTGTATTCTGACCATAACCTGCCACAGATCTCTGCCATATCTTCCAGGAAAGTGTCCCTCCTCTCCCTTCAATCTCTTTTCCTTGGAAAACTCCAGTTTAGCTAAGCAAGCAATGGCTTCAAGGACCAGCTCCTTAACGAAACTTTTCTGGTGTAATCCTGAAATAACTGGTCTCAAAGGCATTTCACGCATCTCCTGGTTACAGCTCAATCTCTACACTTTTCCCCATCACATCACCCTAATGATCTGTTCTTTGGAAGGCAAACAACCTTTAAAAAGTCAATGGAGAGTGCCAGTCCCTAAAAACTGCATGTAGTAGCCTCCCATGGCACCTGACATGACAGCTCCACTCCTTGGCCTTGGAGGTGCTCCTTCCTCTGGCCCTTTGTACATCTGGCCTCCTGTCCAGGTCCCTCCCCACCTTTACTCACGCTCATCCAGACATCACACTTTCTTGCTGCTAATTGAATAGGCTATGCTCTTATTCTTTGACCTGTAATTTCCTCTGTCTGGAATGTTCTTTTTCCAGATTTTTGCATACCCAATTCCTTTTCAACATTTGGGTCTCATCTCAAATATCAATTCCTCGGGGAGACATTCCCTGATCTAGTAAAAGTACTCCATTCCCCACAGAATCATTTGCAATCCAATTACTCTATTTTTTTTTTTCTTTTCTAGCATATAAGACTAATTTTATGCATTTATGTGTTCTATTTTTTCCCCTGCTATGTCCTTATGATATTGTGATTTATAATACAAAATATACATATTTCATCTTCATCCCCATTTGTGGAAAATCCTTGGAATTTTCTAAGTGGTGAGATAGCAGTTATTTGTTATTCATAATGAGCCCCTTTCAGTCACGCCTGAGTGTGTTAATGAGGTGACTTTTGGAAAGCCCCTACAGAGGGGTGTTGGTTGCCAGGGGAACCAACCAGGTGACTAGAGGGTTGGACCTTTCAGCCCCACCTCCCAACCTCTCAGGGAAGGGAGAGAGGCTGCAGATTGAGTTCAATCACTAATGGTCAATGATTTAATCAGTCGTGCCTGTGTCATGAACGTTTTTAAAAACCCAAAAGATGAAGTGTGGAGAGCTTCCAGGCTGGTGAACACAAGGAGGTGCTGGGAGACTCGTTCACCCGGCCCAGAGCCAGCATGGCAGCTCCACAGCCATCCCCATACCTGGCCCTATGCATCTCTTCCACCTGGCTGTTTCTGAGTTGTATCCTTTCCCAAAAAACTAGTAATAAGTCTCTAATCCAGGGTGCAGTTTTTCTGAGTTCTGTGAGCTGATCTAGCACATTAATTGAAATGGAAGGGGATGGTGGGAATCTCCAATTTATCTAGTTGGTCAGAAGTACAGGTAACAATGAAGACTTTCAACTGGCATCTGAAGAGGGGCAGCAGTCTTGTGGGATTGAACCCTTAACCTGCAGGATCTGACACTATTTCCAGGTAGTGCCAATACTGAGGTAAATTGTAGGACACCCAGCTGGTGTCGCAGAATTGCTGGTGTGGAGAACCCACAGGTCTGGTGTCAGAAGTGAAGGAGTGTTGAACAGAGTGTTGAGAGGTGGGGAGATACACAGGAGCCTTTTCCTTTTATAGTCCCCAACACATAAGAGTGCCTGGTCTGCCACAGATGTTCAATGTCTGTTAAATGAATGAATGATCATTTGTAAGTGACTTGTGTATTTTTCTGTCTCCCCCACCAGACTATCTGTCTTCAGATAGAGACCTTGCCTTGCTCACGTGTATCCTTACCACCCAGATGGCCAGTCACACAACTGAGTGGCAGAGCTGAAACACACCTGTAAAGGTAGAAGGGACCTACTATGTAACTGTCTCCTGCGAAGGCTAAACATCTCATTTTTCTGCATTCTGGGTCCCAGGTCTAAAAGTCAAAGCAGTTTGCTTGGCCCAGCCCCTGCACCCTGGATTAGAGACTCTAGCCTATTATTTCTCAAGCTTGAGGCTGGACACTGAGCATACCAGGGGAGAAGTGTGCTGAATCAGAGCCATAAAAATTCTGATGGTCTTTTAGAGGTGGCAGTAGACAGAAAGTTGGACAGGACTCTCTGTGAGCCAGCCACTTCTCCCTGCCCTGAAAGTCCACTGTGATTCTCACGGAAACCAACTCAGAGATTATGCAGAACAGAGAGAAGATATATAAATGAGTGTCCTTCTTGGACCATCTCAGCTAATTCCTCTACCCAGGGGAGCTAGGAATCACACACACACAATTTTATTCACACATACATATATGATGATATTATAAATAAGTACACATATATAAAACGATTATGTACTATGTGTTTGTCTGTCAGAATGCACACTCCACTGAGATGAAGACACTGGAGAGAAAACCGGGAGGCAGGAGAGCGACAGGCACATTTGAGGCTGACATGGGAGGCAGCGTGCCCGAGCAGAGCGAGTGAGAAGTGGTTGGAAGTAACATCTGAGAGGTATGTATGTGTGTGATAGGCGGGGGAGCGGTGGTGCAGATAACAGGGGACCTTGTAAGCCACTGAAAGACCACTGGCTTTCCTGAGCGATGTAGGTCGGTTCTGAGTTCAGTCACTAGTGGTCAATGATTTAATCAGCTGTGCCCATGTGTTCACAGGTGTTAGGGGGCAAGCACAGAAGTGAGGGAGACCAGTGTAAATGAGTCTCCTATGATAGTCCAGACAACAGAGGACTGTGGCTTGCACCCAGGGGTGGTGGTGAATGTGAAGAGTGGTTTGATATATGAACATAAAGAACCCCCACCACCGTCAGCTCATTTAACACTTAAAGCAGCTCTAGAAGGAATGACCATCACCTTCAGTTTAGAGATGAGAGAACTGAGGCCCAGAAGAGAACTGACTTGCCCATGACCCCACAGGTAAGGAGACGAGTTAGTGCCCTATCTCTGCTTTTCTTATTCTTATTCTTTTTTTTTTTTTTTTTTCAGACAGAGTATATCAGGGTTCTCCCCCTCCACCCAGTGGGTACAGCTGGTGGTTACTCTTCAAAGAAGGGGTAGTGTTTTGGTCTGAGAATGACTAAGGCAGGTGAGGTGCCTGCAGAGAGGCCAGACTAACAAACAGGTACCCAATCATCCTGGATCATGAAATAAGAGGGGACAGACTTGACATCTACTAAATTCTGTGAGAGAAACAATTTTAGGGCCAAATGAAGAGAATCCTTTCATAGCCTTATTAGGTTCTTCAGAGTTAGCAGAGATCTAGACCATGACTTGGCCAACAGACTCAATGTATTCCTAAGGAAGAATGTCGATGCCTGGGGACAACAGTGACGCCTGAGGCCAGTGCCTTGTGGGACGCTCCCAACAGAAACCCCTTGGAGGAGACTACAGTAACACCCTCATATTTGGGGAATGAATTTGTTTCCAAAACGATCCCATATCTCTGCTTCCATCTGATCCTTTTAACACTCCAGTGGAAAGACCAGGTAGATATCACCATCTCCATTTGCATACGGGAACATGAAGGTGTGGAGGTGAGATGACTCACCAAATCTCAAGGCAGGGAATCAGCTCTCAGTTCCACCTCTACTTCAGAGCTTCTCTTACCCCACTTTGCGCCTCCTGGGGTTGGGTGGGGAGGGGCATCCAGGCTTCTCCCCCATCAGCCTTCTTGAAAACTCTCTCCTGAGGTAGCTTCTTCCCATTGCAGGCCTTTCTTACTACTTCACAGCCCACACATCCCTGGGCTGGGGGAGGCCAGGGGTGTGCAGGTGGCGTTCTCCTGTCTCCCCACTGCTGCTTTTATTTAGACCATCGTCCTATGAAAGCTCATGTCCTTCAGAGCCAAACATGTACTCAACCATCTGCTCTTCCTGATCACTGCCGTCTATAGTTCTCTGCGTTTCTACCCTTGTTAAATTAAGACTTTTTGGCACTTTGCTCACTACCTTCTATTCCACCCCCAATTCCTGTCATAATCCTCAGAGGCAACCCATTCAACGTCCTTGCCTCTGCTAGTGACTTTCACATCTACTCTACTTCAAATACTGACTGCCAAGTGTACTGTCTGGTTCTTGCCACCACATGGAACACATTCACTTCAGAACTGTAAACATCCCACTTTCTGACCCCAACCCCATCTTTCCAACCGTCATGGACTTAGGTCCATTATAACCATTACGTCACAAGATCGTTAGCACATCAGCCTTACAGTTCCCCATCCTTCAGCCTTCTCTCAGCCTTGCTCCTCTCCTACCCTGCCCAGATCCAGTGTTGATCTAAATTCCTCTCCCTCCAGCTCCTTCGATTCCTCTGCATGCTTCCCCACTCTGTGCCCCCTCTGGTCCTACTAGCTCAACATATACACAAAACCTTAATTCTCAGATTCTTTTCTCAACTCCACATCTAGGTTTCTAAGAACCACAGAATACAACCATAGCTCTTGCAAACGGCACAATAGTCTGCAAGCACCGCTGGGCCTTTGGTGTTTCCCACAAACCATTCCTTTCTCCTTCACCCATTTCCTCGCCCGAGGACATTTTTCCATTTTTTTGTTCAGATAGAGTAGGAGGGAGAGAGAAACATCGATGTGAAGGGGACACATTGAGTGGTTGCCACCCACACGACCCAACCAGGGCCAGGGACAAACTGCAACCGAGGTACGTGCCCTTAGCGGGAACCGAACCCGGGTCCCTCTGGATTGCAGGCCAATGCTCTAACCACTGAGAAAAACTGGCCAGGGGCCCCCGTCTTCTTTTTGACCAGCTCGATCTTTCACACTCCGAAGCCTTCCTTATTCTGCCCTCTCTCCATTTACTCAGGGCCACAATCTTCCCTCAGAGAACAAGGTGTGCCTCCTTCTGGTTTAAAAGCCATCTGTCTATGCCCTTGATCTCTAATCCTTCCTACAATTCCCAAGGCCTTACTTTTTCCTCTTTCCCATATTCTTAATTTTTCCTTGGAAGGTTCAAACTGTCTGCTGATAAACATGCCCAGTGTGCCCGCACTCTAGGCCTTCTTTTGAAGGTCGTCATCTGTCTGTGTCTCATCACATTCCCCTTGATGTCCCCACCCACTGCAATCTGCCCAACCACCCTCCACCACTACTGAAGCTACATATCCAGTAGATATGTCTCAGTCCTTGTTGTACTGAATTTTGTTGTGCTGTGTGCTCCTTAAAACACTATACCCTGGGCTACCACAATATGCCTTCTATTCTTCCTCACATTTGACTACTCCTTGTCTCCTTGGTGGGATCTTCTTTCCATTCCTATCTCTTGAACTTTGTTGGTCTCCAGGATTCCAACACTGGCTAACTGTTTTCATTCGACACATACTCCTGGGAAATGGGAGCCATTTACCCTGTAGCCTCAACTACCATCTGTATGCTAATGACTCCCAAATATTTAACTTTAGCTCGATCCTCTTCCGAGAACCAGACCTGATTCTTTGACTATCACTGCCTTCTAAATATCACCTAGATGATCCACGGGCTCCCTACCCTCTTTCTCTTCTAGGCACCACCATCTAGCCAGCCACCCCATCTCGAAACCTGGGAGACAGTCCCACTCCCTTCTTCCTCATGATCTTCAAATTTGACTAAATTTACCTCGTAAGCAGTCTTCAAATCTAGTCTCTCTTCTACAGACCTTCTACTGCTGTCCAAATCCAGACTTTTATCACTGTGGTCTGGCCCATGCTCAAAACTTTGTAACTGTTCCCTCTAGACTTGTTTCTCAAATCCATCCTCAATAGTCATCCATGATCTATTGAAAACACAAACCTTTAAGGTCTTACCTCTAATTAAAAGCCTTCAATAACTTCACATTGCCTATAAGAGCAATTCCAAACTTCAATACAGCATGTAAGGTCCTCTGTGGTGTCACCCTGGCCTTTCCCAGGTTTTCTCTTCCAAGTCCCAGCATTGCTTTCTGTTTCGGCAACACCAAATGGCATGTAGTTCCCGGTACGACCTGTGCTGGTTCTTTCCCTTTGCCCTTGTTCATGCTGCTCTCTTTCTGGAAAGCTCTCCCTCCCCTCGCTCTCCTGATAGGGCCATTCATACAGTCACCCTTTCAAGTCTCAGAAAGGGCGTCACTTCTTCAAGGAAGCTTCCCCTGGACACCAAGCCTGCATTAGGTGTTCCTCCTTGCAGTTTTTATATTAACAGAGAACATCTCTAACTTCACTCAAGACGATGTTTTACAATTACCTGTTTAAGCATTTCTTCCACAATACTGTGAGCTCCTTGAGGACAAGAAGTGACTGATTTTTGCATCCCCATGCCAAACACAGATGGTGTACAAATAAATGGCTAATGAAGGAATGAATGAATCTTTCCCTGTCCCTTTGGCTTAATTGCCATTATTCTCAAGCTAATCCCAGAGCTTCAGCTGCCTCCCAGGTGCCAAGCTAGGCACAATAGTAAGCTCAGACCCCAGTCTAACCACCAAGCAGAGGGCAGCAGAGCTAGGTCCTTTCTGGTTTCCCAGAGCTCAGGAAGGAAGGAAGGCGGGGAGGAAGGCAGGCAGGAAGGAAGGAAAGCAGGAGGACAGAAGGATGGAAGGCAGGCAGGCAGGGGGGAAGGAAGGAAGAAAGGGAGGTAGGGAGGGAGGAAGGCAGGGAGGAAGGGAGGGAGGGAGGAAGGAAGGAAAGCAGGGAGGAAGGAAGAAAGGCAGGCAGGGGGGAAGAAAAGAAGAAAGGGAGGTAGGGAGGGAGGAAGGAAAGCAGGGAGGAAGGAAGGAAGGAAGGCAGGCAGGCAGGGGGGAAGGAAGGCAGGGGGGAAGGGAGGGAGGGGGGAAGGGAGGGAGGAAGGGAGGGAGGAAGGGAGGAAGGCAGGAAGGGAGGAAGACAGGAAGGGAGGCAGGCCAGAACTCTGGTAAGCTTACCCCTGGAGCACAGTCTGCGCACAGCTGAGGCAGCACTCAGTGGGAGGCCACAGGATGGAAGCAAAGGCCGGTACCCAGGGTTTCGAAGATTTTGAGAAGTGCTGACAAGGTTGGTGGGTTTCAAGGTGGAGTCCATTGAGTCTGAGTGTGGCTCCAAGGACCGGGCCAGGCTATTTCCCAGAACAAAGGTTTCACCTGTAAAACAGTAAAACCAGAGTTAGAGCAGGGACTAGGCCGGAAGGACTGCTGTGGCACTGGCTTCCAGATACCTGTTTGGGTGGAGCAAGAGGCAGCAAAACAGAAAGTCCCGGGCTCGGTCTCAGGTGGCCTGTGTACCAGTCCAGCTCTGGCTCTCACTAGGTGGTCTTAGTAAGCCCAGTGCCACTCTCTGGACTTGGATCTCTTTAGAGACACTTCCTCTTAGACTCAATGGTCTTTGAGGTTTCTTCTGGTCTGGATGTCTTATGCTTTTTCTGGATAAGGAAAACCTTTAATAAAATAGGAAGAGGCTGCCTTACACATAAGCTACTAGATCAGGGAACAGGGGTGCTGGAGAAGACATATACTTTTGCTCAGATGAGGCACTGCAGAAGCTGACTCTCAGCCAGCATGACACCTCAGAAATGCTTCTTGATGCCTGGCTGAAGGCCTGTCTGCAAAGGATCTGCTCCTATGTCCTCTCTCACCCTCTTCATACTTGCCTTGTTTTATAGAAACATTCCAAGGATGCTGGATTGTACAGTGGTGAGAAAGTGGGACCGGGACCAGAATCTGGGTTAGAATTTGACTCTGCCCCTCAGCAGGCAAGGTGTTTCTCTTGGAACCTCAGTCTCCTTATCTATAATATGGGAAGCCCCTTCCTTCCAAGGTACTTAAAAATATCAAAAGGAAGTAGCTATGAAAGCCTTTGTAAAGGGAATCTCATCCTGATGTTTCTACACCCAGGCCACAGCTCAACACCAGGCAGCAGCCCCTAAGCACTGCGCTGCAGGGCCTGCAGCAGACTGCAGCGCTGGTTCTATGCACACCGCAGCTCCTTAGCCCTGCTGCATGCAGCATTCTCTGCTTATGGGGTGTGTCCTGGGTAGTGGACTGCATCACTGTCCTTTGTGGTTTTTCTCAGAGTTCGGGTGTTTTTATAATGCTTGGGATTCATTTAGGGCCTCTGATAAACACTAAATGCAAACTCATTGTCTGGCATACAAAAAGACCTCTGTGGCAAGATGGTTTAGGATTTTTGGACTGCTTTCTGCTACTCACCTAAAATTTCTTGGTAATCATGGGCTTAAAGTCAAATCTAGCATGAGACAGATTTCACCCTTATCTTAGGGAACTGAACTGATGAAGCCCTCCCCTAGAAATGATTCTGAAGAGAGGAGTCTCCAAGGCTTTAGGATACCTTAACCATATCCACTCCTGTGCTGAGGTGAGGTTTCAGATTCCTGTATTCCAGGAGAGATGACTACAGCATTGTCCTGCTTTGAGACAAGAACAGGAACCCAATCCAGAAAACACGAGGCCTGGGTACTGTGCCTAGGCTCCTACCTTCCACTAGGAGTATGATCCCAGACAAGCTGTCTGTCTTCTCTGAGCACCAGTTTCTTCATCTGTGAAATGGAAAACCCACCCTTTGTCATGCTGAGAACATCAAATGAGGAAATGGAATGTGATGGACTTTACAAAGGTCAATGTCAGTTCAAGTTGCTGTTGATATGCTGGAGACATGAGAATAATCAGTATGAGAGGGAATCATTCAACAAAATGCTGTTGAGCGCCCTTTGTTTGCAAGTCACTATGCTAGCTAGGTATGGGGTGTGCAAAGGCACACAGATAAGGACTTTGCCCTTATGCATTTATTTTTAGTTAGTGGCAGATCTTCTTTGAGTGTCATATTGCAAGGCTGACCTTAAAATTTAGAGTTCCCAGTGGAGGGTGACCGAATGCTGGTGAGAAGCAAAGAAGAAAAGACTTGGGAATGCATAGTCTGGAAAAAAGTCAGAGGAGACAAAAACCTGAAAAGCAGTCATGGGATGGGAAGAGAACCAGAGGTAGATCTGATCTTTTGGAAGACAGAGAGTAGAACAGTGGACAAATGTTAAAATAAGGCAGATTTTAGCTAAAACGAGAGGAATTTTAGCAATAAGAAGTGCCTAACAGTAAAACTGATTGCCAAAGGCTATAGTGAGCAACCTATCATTAGTACTGAAGCAGAAGTCAGATAACTGAAGAGAACTGAAGGAGCACAGAGGAGTCAGAAATCTAGACAATGCTCTGACTTGTCTGAGCACGGTTAAAATGCTCATTACAGCAAATAAAAACTAGGGTGAGAGCAGCCAAGTTGCTGGGTACCCACTCTGAGAAACAGAGGTTAGAGAGAACAAGATGATACAGAGTTGGCTGAGCCTGTCTGAAAACGAGGGAAGGGAAGGGGGATAGCCAATGGTGGAACGTGATAACCCTGGAACTGGTCTCTTTCTGGGCGAGGCAACAGGAAGAGTGGTGAAAACTTGCTTCCTCTCATCTGAATCAGAGTTGAATCAGAGAGACGCAAACTGGAACAGAATTCCCAGGAAAGATCACAGCCCCATCCCAAACTACCTTCATGACTGTAGGTCCATGATATACAGCCCACCAGTCTCTGCATACTGTTGCCAGCACATTTCTTAGTTTTTTGTTTTTTTTTTCCCCTTTATTGATTTTAGAGAGAGAGGAAGGGAGAGGGAGAGGGAGAGAGAGACAGAACATCGATTGGCCGCCTCCTGCAATGCCCCCTATAGGGATTGGGCCCACAACCTGGGCATGTACCCTGACTGGGAATCGAACCGGCGGCCTCTTGGTGCATGGGTTGATGTTCAACCTCTGAGCCACACCAGCCGGGCCATTTCTTAGTTCTTTTTTTATCCTCACCTGAGGACATTTTTCCATTTTTTGTTCAGGTAGAGTGGGAGGGAGAGAGAGGAACAGAGAGAGAGAGAGAAACATCGATGTGAAAGGAACACATCGAGTGGCTGCCACCTGCACAACCGACCAGGGCCGGGGACAAACTGCAACCGAGGTACATGCCCTTAGTGGGAACCGAACCCGGGTCTCTCCGGACCGCAGGCCGACGCTCTAACCACTGAGCCAAACCGGCCAGGGCCATTTCTTAGTTCTTAATGACCATATTCCATTGAGGAATTCTGAGCTGCTATTTCTTTGAGAAATCTGTCCTTAGCAGCTACACTCATGGCTGTGCTACTCCCTCAGGTACCTGTTCTTCCAGAACCAGGTAGGCTAGACTCTCATAACTGAAGTGCAGCTTCGAGTCCCTGACTGCCAATAGCTGGGGATGTTTAACAGCCTGCCTTTGTCTGCACCAACTTCACCGTGCTCAGCCCAGACTCCCAAAGGAACACTGACTATAAGTGAGAATGCCTTTTTCTGTCCCCTCAGAGTCTGATGCTGAAAGACAGAGCAGGTTAGATGAGAAAAAGGATCAGTGAAGGGGTCACAAATATGTCTGCAAGGGCCAGATGGCTGGTCCCCACAAGCAGCATTTGAAAGTCAGGTATATTTTTACAAGTTACATAAGCAACACTCATTTGGATGCAAAAATATAGGGGGTGGTGGTGGCTGGGGCTGGGTGAGTAGTCACTTCCCTGAGCACATTCTTCAGAAGTGGCACTTTCATCAGAAGTGATTCTGTTAAGACAATGATAAAAGGACTACAGGGAAGGCAGTGTGGGAGCAATACTTGCCTAGAAGGTCAGAAGGGGGCACCTTTCAGACTTATATGCTCCCCCATCCACAGACAGCACAGCCCTGAACTGACAGCACCACCTCTCCATTCCTCTGGCCAGGACAAAGTCCAGAGCACTCCTGTGAAGGGCCTTTCCTCCCTCTCTTAACAGTGACCTACCTCGCTATGTTTAGGGCCGAGCTTTCCTTCCCTCCCTGTCGTCTTGTGTCCTGGGCTCCAGATTAAAGATGCCGCGTTCCATTCACTCTTTAACCTCTCTCGGAAGTGCTTAGTCACTGATCCGGCCACGTGGCATCCGCTTTCCCATTGTGGGTCTGGTATGTTAACTAAGAAAGTTATTTTCCAGCCTAGTTGGAAACAGCAGGAACTTGAATTGACTTGCTAGACTGGCAATGCTGGAGGAGCTAGGGCCATGTGCCAAAGGAAAGAGTGGATGGCCAATCACCAGGGAGCAAATTTCTCAATCTGTAGCTTGAGACTAAACCTTCCTGCTGGCAAGGGAGCTCTGTGGTAGGCCTTGCTGCCAGATCCACACTGGGAGATGCACTGAGACTTCGCTGTGGCTCCACATGCAGTCTGGAGCTCAGATGCGGATTCGTAAACCACCTTTTTCTAGGGATAAAAATCCAGAGGAAAGGTTCATCCTAGAGAGAGGGGACAAAATCCTGAAGAGAGAGTAAAGATAAGAGGAGACCCAAAAGTCCTGGATGTGGCAAAGGTTAGGGACAGAACACCAGACCTCTGGATGATAGGTGCCAGGCTAGCCGGTCAGAGGGCTGGTCCCCGGCCCTCACTGGTGCTGCTACTAACCCTGCTCCCTTTCTTAGCCCAGGCCCCATCCCAGCTCCTACCTGGTAGGTACCTGTCGTGGCTGTACTCTGTGGTGGTGAGTGACAAGTGAGTCTGTGTAAAAGGCTGGTTGCCAAACAGATTGTCACTGCGAAGGTTGTGGCAGAGTTTCTCCAGGAAGCGGAGGATGTAGGTGATACTGTTGACGGCTGGGAGGTTGAGGGTATGCTGTTCCCGGTCAAACACAGCTGTGGAGTGAAGCAGACAGGGCTGAGCACGTCAGCCAGGTAGAGCAGTGCAGCGCTGGGCAGGAGGAGTCCAGCCCACGGCTTGCCTCAGGTTTACCTGGTTACACAAAGGCAATCAGTGCCCAGGTTTCCTCCCTCCCTCCCTTGAGGGTTTGATTTTTGCCTCCAACTCCAAAGGGCTTGCGGTAATGGGAGTGGCTAGGCCAAGTCTGTTGCACCCGCGGCTCTGGAATGATTTTACTCAACTTGTGAAAACAACTGTGAACATAATTCTATCTACTCCATCAGTTGGCTGGGCCTCCTCCAGGAAAGCTGTTCATTTAGGGACTGTTTCCATAAGAACTGCCCAGGAACAGAGCAGCCGGGCAGAAAAAGAGAATACAGTCATTGCCAGCAATGGTTTGGGTGCACAGTCCAATCTGTATAAGGGTACTAGAATGTCAGCAACATTTGGAACTATGCCATGCTTTGTTTTATTTTACTCTCTATTTCTATTCAAAAAAGGATCTGTACAGTCTTTAAAAAGCTAGAGCCTCTGCATTTGTCTCTGAGAGCAGCAGGAAATGGGGGGTAGGTCATTCTCAGAAACCAATTCTGGGGCAGGGAAAGAACCCTGCAGGAGGTGTAGGTGATTACACCTAAGAGGCAGTAAAGAAGGCTGGGTCCCTACAGACTGCTGCACAGAAGCAAAGGAGAGACCAGGGAATGGCTGCTGCCTCAGAAGGAAAGGAAGGCTTGATTTCCCACGCAGTTCTCAGCCTTCTGTAACTATTCCTTTTCTGCCTGCCCCATCTCTTCTCAGCCAATGACTCTTGTCTGGGCTCTCCACAACCCTGCACACAGTTATCCACTACAACACATCTCACAGTTAGCTGTGAGATAGTCTTCCTTTTCCACCAGGGCAGAGCCTGAGCCTGTGATCTTCCTTTTCCCCCCAGTCAGTGTCTGGCAATAATCTCTGACATATAGTAAGGGCTCGATAAATGTTTGGTGAAAGAATACAGTTGTATTTTTTTTTTTTTTGGTACATGCCCCTAGAGGAACTGAACCCAGGACTCTCTGGTCCACAGGCCAATGCTCCAACTGCTGAGCCAAACCGGCCAGGGCCAGTTGTATTTTTTAATGGGGTTTTCCATGTCAGCTGCTTCCTGAGGCTGGATAGTGCAACTTGTTAGAAGGAAGGTGCAAGAGATTATGGAGCAGCATACAGTTAAGATCGAAAGGCTTTAGGTCAACTCTTCATAAGCTTGGTGGGTAAAGAATAGGGTTTTGGATTTCTGATAATTGAAACAGAACAAGGGGCAGCAGAAGTAGTAAACATTTTCAGTGAAAACAACAAAACACTGTGCAGCTGACTCAGATTCTCATAGCAGGAAAGAAAGAGGGAATAACTCTTCCCACTCTGCCCTAGGATTCAACTCCCTTGGATCAGGGCTGGCTCAGCACCGGGAAGTTAAGGAGTCAAACGAATGAGAGAAGAGTTTGCAGTTCCCTCAGGCCAGCCAGGTGGGAGGCTGGGACAGTCTGGAGAAACTCCTGTTGCCACAGCACTGCCCCTTCTGGATTCTTCTGGGATGCCTTTAAAGCAACACACTCATATTTTCTGTGTGGAGAGGCAAAGCAGGCAGACAGTACAGGTATCTGTTTAGAGGCTCAAAGCAGACAGACAGTACAGGTATCTGTTTAGAGGCTCAGTTAAGACCTTAGACAGAGTCTGGGGGTGTATTCTACTTGGCAGAGGTGAGTATAAGGCTCAGAGGGGCCCTGGGCATTGAAAATGAGGACTCTCTGAAGAAGGGAATACCTTCACACTTCTCCAGAGCCTTCAGGTGTGAAGTGGGAACAAGATGCCTTGTCAGAAAGTAGCCATTTGAGAAGGCCTGGCTCTCTGGCTAGGAGGCCATACTAGCCCAAGGAAGCTTACCTGAGATAACCTCACCACCGTGGCCCTGCTTGAGGAAGCTGAAGACGGTTTTCTGGTGATAAGCACAGTCGATGCAAGCCTGGACAGCCTGCTGCAACACCACAGAGGCACGGGCTGGCCCGAAATGATCAGGGAGCTGCTGGACCTTCTTCTTGTCTAAGTGGGGGCCTGTGCTGCCGTTCTTGTTCAAGTAAATACAAACTACAGGAGACAAAGAATGAAAGAAGCTTACAGAATACTCAGGGTACAGAAATTGGACAACAGTGCTCTCTTCTGTCTTTTGTACCCCGGACTCTGGTTCTGAGCAGGACTCCCAGCTGCTAAGCTGGTGACACACTGTAAGAGGGGATAGAGGATGGCTGTGCCCAGCTGCTGCCGGCCCAAATTGCATGACCAAAAGTTTTGGGAACATAGCCTGCTGGAAGAACAGCCCGACCAAAAGCCAAGGCACGGAACTTGCACTTGGTCTTCTGTGCACTGAAAAAAAAAAACTAAACAATTTCCCAGATATGTGTACTTTAATTTTTGGTACTTGGTTGCCTCACATATTCTGTGTATCTTACCTTATATGTGTGAGAAACTGTGGGGTCATGGCAATATTAACAAGACGGGGGTGGGGGTATGGAATGAATGAGTGTGTGAGTGTGTGTGTGTGTGTGTGTGTGTGTTTAGTCTTGGCCTTGGAATGCTCACACCACTGATCACTTGCCTTGCTTTCTGTTCTGAGCCTTGGAGTCCCATTTTTATCTTCAACATGAACACTCATGTCCAAAGAAAGTAGTAAAAAGAGAAAAAAAAAATGGAATAAAGAAAAACATGAAAAAGGCTTGAGGGTCCCATCTAGATATTTGTTTCAGTCATTTCTCCTGTCAGGATAGCTGGCACTCTCCTAACTACAGCCTTCCACCTGGCACTGTGTTGGGTAGGGGACAGGTGGGCACAGGAGAAAGAAGCAGTCCTAAACAGAGTTGCTTCCTTGCTCTCTGGAGAAGACTCATGGACGCTTGCTCATCTAGGACATTATCCCTGCTGATTTGCCTTGTAGGCTTCCACTTGAGTAGGAGTACTCTCCTTTCTCACACTGTCATAGCTCACTAACTGAAGGGGTTGGGAGGCAAAAAGTCTCTTGTTAGTAAAGGCAAAAAAGATAAGAGCAGTAGCTGTGTGGGCCATGGATGAACTGCTGTCCTCTTGGGGCCTCATGTTTACCATGTGTAAGGTAAGGAGGCTGAGCCGGACGCACTCCTGGGACTCTCCCACTTTTATCATCCTAAGGGGAAGCAAGGTGGAGAGAAGAAAATGGAAAATAGAAAGGGGGATGAAGGATGTGGAAGATGAGAGGTGATAAAAAAGATAAATTGAAAAAAAAGATAAAAAAGATAACTTGAAATACATATTTAACTATGTTTTCTCCCAAAACCCACTAAAATGAGCCAGATAACAAGAGAGAAGACAACATAAAATTTTGGAAGCTGGAAAGCAGATTGGCAGAGTAGTAACTGACTCAGCAGACCTAAGAAAGCTGAATCCTTAACCAAGAATGGGCGATGATGAGAACCAAGCTGTTTCATCTTATACTTCACAAAAGGCACAAGAATGGGCAGGTGCCTCTAGAGGTGGATGTGGAGGTAGATCTAATAATTAAAGGACTGGTTGAAATCTATTAAGAAATAGGACTTCCATGTCAAAATATGACTCTTTTGCTGAAAACAAAACAAACAAAAATGCAAGAATTCAAAGAGATGAGAAGAGAAATAACACATTATAAGAATGTTCATAGCAGCTTAGTCATAGTAGTCCAAAATGAGAACCAAGCCAAATGTCCATAAACAAGAGAAAAGATATACAAATTGTGGTATATTCACTTTTTGAAATACCACTTGGTTGTAAAAAAAAACTATTGATAGTGTGCTTCTCACAAACATTATTTTGAGAGAAATAAACCAGATAGAAAAGAGTATACATATAGTAAGATTCCATTTATATTAAGTTCAAGAACAAAAAAATCTAATTTACAGTGATAGAAATAAAAATAGAGGTGAGAGTGAAGACAGATTGTAAGGAGGCATGAGGTGACTTCTGGGGAGTGGAAGATGGTTAGAAATTACTTTTAACTCAGTTGGTGTAGTTAGTTACATGAGTGCTTACAATGATTAAAATTCATCAAATAGTACATTTAGGATTTGTATATTTCACTGTATGGAAACTTCACCTAATTAAAACATACAAAAAGAAAATATTTAACCAGTCCAGTAATGATTAAAAAAAGAAATTCTATGTGTATTAAAGGATGAAATATAAAAGGCAAACTATGGCCCTGGCCAGTTTGGCTCAGCGGTTACAGCGTCGGCCTGTGGTCCTCAGCCCTGGTTGGGTCGTGCAGGAGGCAGCCACTCAATGTGTGTTTCTCTTTCTCTCTCTCTCTCTCTCTCTCTGGCCCTCCCTCCCTCCCTCCCTCCCTCCTACTCTCTCTCTCCTTCCTACTCTATCTGAACAAAAAATGGAAAAATGTCCTCGGGTAGGGATAAAAAAAAAAGGCAAACTAAGAAACCCTTAGAAGAATGTGGCAGTTTTAAAACATGGCCCAAAAATTCTTTGACATTCCTGACATAGATCTCTGTGATATTTGACCATGGTGGAAATGACATTGTGTTAGTTTCTGAGCTTAGGGCTTTAAAACTAGCAGTTTCCACTTCCTGTTTCTTGGGACATTCACTCTGGGAACCCAACTACCATGTGTGAGGAGGAAAGCCAACCCGTGGTGAGGCCCATGTGGAGAGAAACCAACAGCCAGAACCAACTTGTCAGCATGTGGTAGAAGTGATCTCCAGCCCTTGTCGGCCTGCCACAGCTGGCGCTGCATGGAACAGAGTCAAGCTGTTGCCACTCAGCCCAGCCCACCTTGTTGTTTTCAGTCATCAAGTTTTGTGGTGGTTTTGTTATGTAGCAAAAGGCCCCACCTTAATTATAGAGAAGTAACAATAAAAATTACATCCTTATAAAACATGAGAACAAGAAGAGAATAAAGTGAAATAATTAAAGTGTTGAGAGAAAACACCCACCAACTTAGAATTCTGTACTCTGTAAAATTGTCCATCAAAAGTGAGGGAGCCCTGGCCGGTTTGGCTCAGCGGTTAGAGTGTCGGCCTGCGGTCCTGAGAGACCCGGGTTCGGTTCCCGCTAAGGGCGTGTACCTCGGTTGCAGTTTGTCCCCGGCCCTGGTCGGTTGTGCGGGTGGCAGCCACTCGATGTGTTCCTTTCACATCGATGTTTCTCTCTCTCTCTCTGTTCCTCTCTCTCCCTCCCACTCTACCTGAACAAAACAAAACAAACAAAAAAAAAAAAGTGAGGGAGATCCCTGGCCGGTTTGGCTCAGTGATTAGAGCATCGGCCTGCGGTCCAGAGAGACCCGGGTCCGGTTCCCACTAAGGGCGTGTACCTTGGTTGCAGTTTGTCCCTGGCCCTGGTTGGGGTTGTGCGGGAGGCGGCCACTCAATGTGTCCCTTTCACGTCGATATTTCTCTCTCTCTCTCTCTCTCTCTTTCTCTTCTTCTCTCTCCCTCCCACTCTATCTGAACAAAAATAAAAAAATGTCTTCAGGTGAGGATAAAAAAAAAAAGAGTGAGAAATAAACACTTTCCCAGACAAAGAAAAATTGAAGGAGTTTGTTGCTAGTAGACCTGACTTGCAAGAAATGTTAAAGAAGTTCCTTAGAGAAAAGAAAAATAATATAGATCAGAAACTCAGACCTACATAAAGGGAAAAAAGCATCAGAGATGGAACAGGTGAAGGCAAAATAAAAAATTATTTTTCTTATTCTTAATTGATCTAATAGGTAATAGTTTATTCAAAATAACAAGAGCAACACTATATTTGATTATGTATGCTTATGTGTGTGTATATATGTGTGTACATATATGTACTTATGTGTAAGTAAAATGAATGAATCATCACATAAGGAATGGGAAGAAGAAATCAGAATTATTTTGTTACTATATTTGTGAAATGGCATAATGTTATTTGAAAATAGACTTGAATTAGTTATAAATGTATACTTCAAATTCTAGGGTAACTACTAAAAAGGTACAAAAAGAAGTATAACTGATATGGTAAAAAAATATGAAATGATATAAAATGCTCAATTAAAACTATAGAAGGCAGAAAAAGAGTAGAAGACAAAAACAGAAACAAAGAAGGGTAACAAATAGAAAACTGTAACAAATATAAAAGAAATTTATCCAACTATATCAATAAGCACTTAATGTCAATGGTCTAAATACACCAATTAATAGACAGAGATTCTCAAAAACAAGACCCATCTGTAGTCTACAAGAAACCCACTTTAAAAATAAAGACACATATAAATTAAAAGTAAAAGGACAGAGAAAAACATATCATGCTAATGCTAATTAAAAGAAAGTGGGGAGTAGCCATATTGACTTCAGACAGAGCAGATTTTGGAGCAAGCAAAGTTGTAGGTAAATAGGGGTATTACATAATAATATAGAGAACAATTATCTAAGAAGACATATTAATCATTACTGCATATGCACCTAACAACAGATCATCAAAATATGGGAGGCAAAATTGATAGAACTGCAAGGAGAAATAGATGAATCCACTCTTATAGTTGGAGACTGCAACATCCCTCTATCAGAAATGGACAGAAACTCAGTAAGAACACTGTTAAACTCAACAGCACCATCAATCAAATGAATGTAATTGCTATCTATAGACTACTTTACACAATAGAACACACATTCTTTTCAAGCTCGCATGAAACATTCACCAAGACAGATCACATCTGGGCCATAAAATACACATTAACAAATTAAAAATAATAGAAATCATATGAGAGAGAGAGAGAGAATGCTCAACCAACTGAGCCACACTGTGGATGTTGTTGTGACTAAGTTGGTTGAATAGTGTCCCATGCACTAAGAGGTTGCCGGTTTGATACCAGTCAGGGCACATGCTCAGGTTGTGGGCTCAATCCCAGCAGGGGGTGAGTAGGAGGCAGCCCATTGATGTTTCTCTCTCACATTGATGTTTCTCTCCCTTTCCCTTCCTCTATCTCTAAAATAAATAAAAACAGCCTGGCTGGTGTGGCTCAGTAGTTGAGCATTGACCCATGCACCAAGAGGTTGCCAGTTCGATTCCTGGTCAGGGCACATGTCCAAGGTTGTGGGCCAACCCCCCAGTTGGGGGCATGCAGGAGGCGTCCAATCGATGTTCTCTCTCATCAGTGTTTCTCTCTCTCTCTCTCCCTATCCTTTCTTTTCTCTCTAAAATCAATAAAGAAAAAAAATGTTTAAAATAAAATAATAATAATAATAAATAAACACAATACCATATTAGCACCCAAAATGAAACATTTAGGTATAAATCTAACAAAATGTGTACAAAATTTACATGAGGAAAACTACAAAACTGATGAACAAAATATTAAAAAGAACTAAATAAATGGAGAAATATCCATGCTTATGAATAGGAAGACTCATTATTGTCAAGATGTCAGTTCTTCCCAACTTGATCAATAGCTTCAATGCAATCCCAATAAAAATCCTAGCAAGTTATTTTGTGGCTATTGACAAACTGATGTAAAGTTTATAGAGAGCGGCAAAAACTCAGAACAGTTAACACAATGTTGAAGGAGAAGAACAGAGTTGAAAGACTGATGCTATTCAACTCCAAGACTTACTCTATAGCTACAGCAATCAAGATAATATAGTATTGGTGAAACAATAGACAAATAGATCAATGGAACAGAACAGAGAGTCCAGAAATTATCCCACATAAATATAGCGAACTGATGTTTGATAAAAGAGCAAAGGCAATACAATGGAGCAAAGATCATCTTTTCTTTTTTTTTATCCTAACCTGAGGACATTTTTTTCCATTTTTTGTTCAGATAGAGTGGGAGGGAGAGAGAGGAAGAGAGAGAGAGAAAGAAACATCGATGTGAAAGGGACACATCGAGTCGCTGCCACCCGCACGACCAACCAGGGCCAGGGACAAACTGCAACTGAGGTACGCGCCGTTAGCGGGAACCGAACCCGGGTCTCTCTGGACCACAGGCCGACGCTCTAACCGCTGAGCCAAACCGGCCAGGGCAAAGATCATCTTTTCAACAAATGGTGCACATTAAAAAAATAAAAAGAATCTAGACACAGACCTTACACTCTTCACAAAAATGAACTCAAAATAGACTACAGACCTAAATGTAAAATTAAAAACTATAAAACTTCTAGAAGATAACATAGGAGAAAACCAAGATGATCTTGGGTATGGCAATGACTTTTTAGATACAACACCAAAGTCACAATTCAGAAAAGAAATACAGATGACTCTTAAACAACATGGGGGTTAGGAGTACTGAACCCTGTGCAGGGAAAATCCATGGAAAATACCATTTTGATCCGTGGTTGGTTGAATCTGTGGATGCACAACCTGGGGATATGGAGAGCTTCCTATATATTTACTGAAAGAAATCCACATATAAGTAGACCCTATAATGGTGCATATATGTCATTTTACATTTGTTGAAACTCATAAAAAGTACTCCACCAAGAGAGAATTCTAATGCAAACAATGGACTTTGGGTGATAATGATTTTTTTTTTTTGCATTTATCTTTAGATGGAGAGGGAGGAAGAGAGAGAGAAAAGAGTGAGAGCCACATCAACTGGTTGCCACCCACAAAACCCCAACAGGGGCCGGGGACAAACTGCAACCGAGATACGTGCCCCTAGCGGTAACCGAACCTGGGTCTCTCTGGTCTGCAAGCCGAGGCTCTAACCGTTGAGCTAAACTGGCCAGGGCAATATTTCAATGTAGGTTCTCTATGGAAACAAATGTACCACTCTGGTAGGGAACGTTGATAATGGAGAAGAAGGCTATGCAGGTGTGGGTGCCCGGGGAATATAGAAAAAAAACCTCTATAACCGCTGGTAAATTTTGCTGTAATATAAAAACAAAGAGCCTAGTAAAAAATTCAGAAAACAAAGACACCCTTCATTGCAAACATTCAAGGTAGGGAAGCAGAATATAAGCATCTTCTAATTATATGTAGTCAAATTTCCTAAATGTATGTAAAATCCTTTTATGCAGAGCATTTTGCAGGATTGGTTTTCCTGCAAACACCCTTTGGAAAATGCCACTAGAATAAAAAAACAATGACAGTTTTTAAAGTAAGATATCAGAAACAAAAATCTCAGTACAAAATAGGAAAATACAGTTGAGGAAAGCTTAAAGTTGAGCAAAAGACAGAGAGAACAGGAATAAGAATAAAGAGAGTTAAGAATATTAGAGGAAGAGTTCAAGAAGTTCAACATCTGAATAACATGTATGCCAGTGAACAGAGAAAAAGAAGGGGGAAATCACTGATGAAAGAATTTAAGAAAATTTCAAGAAACTAAAGAATGGAATGGGAATACTATGTGTCCAGCATTGTAAGTAAAAATACTCATGTCTTAGGTGAAATTTCAGAATACTGGGTATGAAGAGAAGCTTCTAAGAGAATAAACAGGTTACATACAAAACTAAAGATGTAAATCTAAGAAAGATTTACAGAGGAAAACAAAGATATGGAAAGTAGCAAACTGAGGATAATACAAAAGGGTGGTGAAGAGGATGTCAAGGAATTCCGAAGGCTCCAGAGAGATTTCTTTTAGAGTTTAAAATGAATTGAATATATAATGTGCTGGAATATAAAGAGAGATGTACACAGTAGCAAGACAGTTTACGGCTGAAAATACATAGTGAAATAAACACAAAATAAAGAAACAAGATTTACTCAGAAAACAATGTGTAACAAAGGAAAAGTAACCATAGTACAACTACATGGCTCAACTGAGAATAGCATTTAACAAGTTACAATAACAAAATACTGTATTTCAATCTAATCAAAATTATAATAGGGTACTGACACAGTTTTAAGATAGGGAAGTACATGTGGTGGATAAGGGGCAAGGAGATTAAGAAGAGTTAAATCCTCATCTTCTAAAGTGAGCTGTTAGTTGAAGTATGCCTAAAGCTAAAAAAAAAAAAAGCAATATAAACATTCCATTTTCATATATGGAGGTAAATATTTTCATATATGGAGGTAGCTGGATTGAAAGCAATTGCCTTGATTGAGCAGTAAATGATGGGGGTGGGGGAGGACTATTTGTTTTGTTTTTGTAGTAATTCTTATAGACCTATTGTTCCTTTAGACTATGAGCATATCACTCTTTTTTTTTTTTTTTTTTATCCTCACCCGAGGACATTTTTCCATTTTTTGTACAGACAGAGTGGGAGGGAGAGAGAGGAAGAGAGAGAGTGAGAAACATCGACGTGAAGGGACACATCGAGTGGCCGCCACCCGCACGACCAACCAGGGCCGGGGACAAACTGCAACCAAGGTACATGCCCTTAGCGGGAACCGAACCCGGGTCTCTCCGGACCACAGGCGGGCGCTCTAACCGCTGAGCCAAACCGGCCAGGGCGAGCATATCACTCTTAAAAAGTGTTGTGTAGCTAAAAAATATAAAAGATAGGTAATGAAGAATACACTGTAGCACATAGCTTTTAATCTATGATAACTTTTACTGTTAACATTTGAAGGAACTATAAGGTAACTTGGACTAATCTCATCATTGTATAGGTGTGAAAACTGAGGCTCAGAAAGGGAAGTGACTTCAAATCTAATGACATGCCCCTAGATGTTTGTATAGCTTTATTTTAGCTAGCACTTAGGTGCCTAGGTGCCTTTCAACAATATGTAGAAGACCCACAGCAGTGGGAGCTTTATGACCAAGCCTCGCTATTTAAATAAAGCTGACCATCTCTTCTGGCAGTCACTGAGCTGGCATCCCTTCGTTGGCCTGAATCTCATAACCTAGGAAAAATGGAAACTAACTTCGTATCCATTTCCTGCTCTTGGCCAGGCTATACCAGTTTTAACTAATCGCTGTGTCACCGTTTCCCATTTGAACCTTGGCTCATTCTGTGTGACCTTGAGCAGTGGTGGGAAGGTTTCTGGAAGGAATCACTAAGAATGGAGCACCCTGAACTGGAAAGGAGGAGTAATATTACAAACTGGGCCAGGAAGCTCCTGGCTCTGGCCCCACCTCCACCCCACCCCACTGCCACAGCTCCCAACCCTGAGTCACAGACTATCTACCCGTGTCTTTGATTGTTTTTGACAGGATGGAGGTTTCTCTGAAACGATTTCTCTGAAATGCCAAAGATTAAAAAAAAAACAAAAAAAAAAAGATCCTATTTAGGTTTATAAATGGACAGGGAACTAATTATTGGTACAAGATGAGAAAATACAGACATAGGGGCCTGGGGCTTGTTGCAGCTAGTACCATGGTCTGCTCTTACCTGTGGGGGCCTGCATGGCTGAGCTGGGGATGGTGGCAGCATCTTGGGGTACAGTGCTGGTGTCCGGTTCAGGGGTGCTGGTTGTTGGTGAGGTGGGTGGTGGGTTCAGCAGAGTCCGAGGTTTTCTCTGTCAAAATGGATGGGGAAAAGTTTGCTACCCATGATAGGTAACTTGTCTTCTCATTCCTCTATTCCTAGGACTTAATTCACTCATGAAATGAAAACATATTTGTAGATTGGACTGTGTTTTATCTTTGTTTTCCATACAGCATCTTGTCCAAAGCTATATCTAGTAGATGCTTAGTAAATATTTTCTGAATCTATGCACAAGATTCTGGGCTTCTGCACAGCCAGAGCTTAATGCACTGTCTTTTATATTAGGTTTGATATTCTGATGTGAAGTTCCAGGTTCTTTATTAGTTGGGCAGACAAAAGCAAAAAATGGAAAAAAAATGTGTGGCTTAGATCTACTTTGACATTATTTTGTACTTTCTCTCTGTTGAAAAACAGAAATTTCCTTTCCCCTAATTCTACAAATTACTTTCCTCTGCCTACCTCTTGAGCTCATTACCTGCCATTTATTATCTTCAACCTTATACTCTAATAACCTCTAACTATATTACTTCTCTACAAACCACACCTGGTCCATACCTTTATAATAATAAACCATCCCTTCTTCTTGAACTGCCCTTTCTTCTTCTTTTTTTAATCTCACAAATACCTGTTTACCTGGAAGCTTTTCTAGATTTCCTCTAGTTACTGTCTCTCTTGTGCTGTCTCTGTTGCATTTGTCACAGTGTATTGTCATTATAAACGTATATACTGGGAACCTGTTAGCCTGGAGCTCCTGAGAGTCTGACCTTGAGTACCATTCCTAGCATGATACTTGGCATATAAGTGTCAATAATGTTTTTCAATGAAGCATACAGTATAGAATACCAATGATGGGGGAAGTAATGAAAATGATTTGAGAGACATCTAATATCTCCCCTATGCTGGTCAGCGCAGCCTCTCGGGGAGAAGGACCTTAGAAGGTTCTTTCCAAGATAAAGTTTTCTAAAAGCCTTTCTGAATGCAAGGAACACATAATCATCCCCGAGGTCCAGAAATCTTTTTTTTTACTAAATGTCATGTAGGGTCCACTTCTGGGAACTGTATAAACCTGCCTGCCTTCTTTCTAGGAGTGTTATTATCTGAAGAGGTAGCACCAATGACAGCAAGTATATACCTTGCCTGTGAAAGAAATCACATTCCTCTTATGAAAGCACACATGGAACATGGACATCTCATATTTTTGATAATGCTAAAAGTAAAAATCTAAATAAACAATGAGTCAGGGTAGAAAGGAATACCGGGTTCAACTTCACTGAATTGGTGGTAGGATTTCCTGGCATCCCTGAAGGAACAATCCTGGTAAGTAAGGTGCCCAAATATTATAGAAGAAACCAAAGAAATGGAGGGCATTCTTACTATTTGAGATGGGTGCAATTACATGTATTATATCTAGTCATATATTACCTCAACTCTATTTTATTGGTGAGAAAACCGGGGCTCACAGCTTTATTCAAAGAAGCTTTCCCAAAGTCACACAGCTGGTAACAAATGAAGATGAGATAAAAAAAAACAAAAAAAACAAAACCTAAGTTTGTCAGGTTTGAAAGCCTCTCATCACAAGACCAATTTACGTCACAAAGGAATGTAAGGGTTACGAGTTAAATGGAAAGGATATACACTTCCAGCAATAGGCAAAAAGGACAGGAAGGGGAATTAGGGAGTCAAATGCTAGGCCATTAAAATACAGGATAAGATAAGAATTCTTGTTTTCAAGAGGCTGGAAAGGAAGAGAACGTTGGCTACTATGTTTGGAACTGCCTGAGGAAGCAGAACAGAGGCAATCAGTCATATTTCTTGGGTTCTGAAGGATCTTTTTTTATGGTTAATCCTCACCCAAGTATATTTTCCCATTAAATTTTAGATAGAATGGAAGGGAGAGAGGGGAGAGAGAGAGAGAAAGAAACATCGATGTGAAAGAAACACATTGATTGGTTGCCTCCTGCATGACCTTGACTGGGACTGGGGATTGAATCTGCAACTCATGTATATGCCCCTAACCAGAAATCGAACCCATAACCCTTCAGTCCGAGGGTTGATGCTATAATTGCTGAGTCAGACTGGCCAGGGCAGATTCTGCAGGATCTTAAACCATTCATCCAGTATTTCTATTCCCTCGTCCCTGAACACATCCCTCCCATATTGTCATCCAGTTCCTGATGAAATACCTCTACTGATGGGAGATTACTATTTGTATTTTGGAACAGATTTAACTGTTCCTTTATCCTGAGACAAAACCTGTGTGCTTGAGTTTCTGCATATTTGGTTCTGGTTCTTTCTTTGGAACCTCACAGACAAGTTTTCTCCCTTTTTAATCTGACTGTCCTCAAGATGCCTTCACATCAATAAAAGCACAACTTTGCTGGCCTGTAATATTAGGGACTTTAGCCTCTGCTCTACAACATGAGAATGAGAAGAGTTATGGAGATAAAAATGAATCAGGACCTGAGTTAGGGGTTAGAGGTAGTAGGTCAGGAGGATTATGTGTTACATACAAAGATCAGGATGTGACATCGAGAATTCAAAGCCAATAAATGAGACAAAATTGTAACATCATTACTCAAACCATCCATCCATCCATCTTGCATATACTGAACATTTCTCAAGAGACGGAGATATAAGGCACTGCAGGAAAAAGAGAGAAGAAAAAGACTAGGTTCTTGACCTTGAGGAGTTTATATTCTAGGACTAAAGTCAGTTGGAGTAAATAAATAAACCAAAACCAACAAACCAACTAACAAAACCTAGGGAAGAACTTATGATATTGGAAAGGAGTTCCCGGGAGGGCTGGGCATCATCTCCACAGTGGAAGTCAGGTGGTCTAGCTCAGGAAGGAGCTGCAGAGATATCCTGACAAGTAGAAAGTGAGTGGAGAAGGTGATGCCAAAGGAGGTCCCAGAGAAGCAGCAGAGAAACTTTCATATCAGAGGTTTCCCTAGGGAAGATATACATGAAGAACCAGTCATGACTAAAAGGTGGTGCTTCTAGGAGCAGTGCTCAGTGAAGCTTGACTCAGCAGTCTTTTCCTACACTAAAGGTAAGTGTTATCTCCTTCAAGAAATTCGAGAGTGAATATGTGGTAGGGCAGTAGTGAGCTTGAAACTAGAAAATTTGGGGACCCATCTTTGTAGCCTTTGCTGTTTATTAGCTATGTGACCTTAGGAAAGTCATTTCACATTTCTAAGTCTCAATTTACTTAACATTTAAATAATATCAACACTACTCATCTTCTAGGGTTTTGTGAAGATTATGTGATATGTAATGGCGTTTAATACAGAGCCTGATACCTAGTAGGTATTTGATAATTTAAAAGGGGCGGGGGCAGGAATAGAGAAAGATACATTTACGGAGTCAATTTTTTCTTTTTGTTTACATGCCTGGGCATCTACTTTGGGTAGATTAACAATCAGGAGCAGGGCCTTCCATCTAAGGAAGACATCAGACCAGAATTCCCTTAAATGTAAGTAACTTTCAAAGTCAAAATTTGTTTCTTATCCACACCATCCTATGTCTAATATTACCTACTTCCAGGTAAGTAGATAAGTGGGGAAAACAACCTAGGAAATTCCTCTTAAAAGCATACACAAGGTGGAGAATAGGGCCAGACATGCTCCTTTCCAAGATGGATGGGTATGGATGAGTTACCCCTTTTTAACCCTTTATTCCTTTCTGGGAAAATCACATTTTTACCTACCTTACTGCCAGGTTTGGGACCCCTCTTCTTTGGAAATTTCAGAGATTCAGCTGACTTGGATGGGGTAGCGATGGGATGGGGAATTAGAGGCTTGGGTGTCCGGCCCCGCTTCTTTCCTGGTTTACGCCCCCTCTGCCCTGGTTGATGCTCCAAGTCAATTTTGGTGCTGCCGTGGATGCTGGGCTTCTCAGTGTTCACATCAGACGCAGAAAAGGGACTCTTTGGAATCACAACTGCAAGAAAAAGACTCATTCTATCACCCCTCTGCCCACCTGTATTTCCATCCCAGGCAGAGGGAAAAAAAGACTTGCTACTTCCACTTGGGTAGTTTGATCCCAAAAAGCTAGTTTCCTGGCATCTGACCTAAATATTAGAAGATCTCAGAGGAGAACTAAAGTTAGATTGGCTAGAATTGGAAGTTTAAATTATTTCTGGTAGATGTAGTAGAAAAAATATCTAAAATTTCTCCCTAAGGCATCTAATTAAATAGAACCACAGACTCAGAGATGAAATGCCTACAATCCTTTCCTGCTAGGAATGAAGATCTAAGTTCTGAAGAGGAAATGATGCCTTCCCCAGGTTACATTGTGAGTTGGAATGAGAACTTATGTTTTGAAAGTAGGGCCTTCAACTAAGAGATTTTCTACATCAATCTACTCAAAGTTTTAGTGTGATTATTGCAGTGAAAAGCAGTGAAACACATGGAAACATAACACATCTGATGGCATCTCTCCCTGCCTTAAAAATCTTTGCTCTGTACTACCTTTAATGTAAAGTCCAAATTCTTTACCCTGACATCCAAGGACTTCTGTAACTTTGTCTATGCCTTGCTTTCTCCAGTTATGTATGATATCATTTCCTGTCACCCACCCCTATGTTCTAGATCCACTGTGTTCTGAACACCAAGTCATTTATATATGTTGAGTTCTCTATTCTTCCTGGTCAGAGATACATAAATATTCAGTTTCTAACACCCACCTCCTTATTGAGGCCTTGTTTGACTATATCCCAATTAAGTCAGTGCCCCTTCTCCCAAAGCACTCTGTAGAAATCTATGTTAGAGTACTTTCAATTTTACTCTAATCATTCATCTTCTCCTTAAACTGATAACTCTCCAAGATAAAGGATATCTAGTTCATTCCACAAATATTTATTGAACACTTACTATAGGTTATGCACTGTTCTAAGTCCTAGAGATAGAACAATACACAAAACAGACATAGTTTCCACTAATATGCAGCTTACCTTCTAGTGGCGGAGACAGCAAATGGACTAATAAATATATGATAATGTTAGGTAAGTGCTATGATAAAACTAGAGCGAGGTAAGGAGGTAAAGGGGTGAGGCAAGTCCTCTTGAAGAAATGACATTTATTTATTTATTTTTTATTATTATTATTTTTTAATCCTCATCCGAGGACATTTTTCCATTTTTTGTACAGACAGAGTGGGAGGGAGAGAGAGGAAGAGAGAGAGAGGGAAACATCGACGTGAAGGGACACATCGAGTGGCTGCCACCCGCACGACCAACCAGGGCTGGGGACAAATTGCAACCGAGGTACATGCCCTTAGCGGGAACCGAACCCGGGCCTCTCCGGACCGCAGGCCGACACTCTAACCGCTGAGCCAAACCGGCCAGGGCTTGAAGAAATGACATTTAAACAGAGCTCCCAAATGAAATAAAGACAAAGCCTTATGAAGATCTGAGGAAAGAATCTTCCAAGTACAGGTGCAAAGATTCTGAGAAGGAAACATGTTAGCATGTTTGAGAAATGGAAAGGTCAGTATGGTCAGTATATACCTGGAACTGAGAGAGCAAAGGTTAGAAAGGGAGTATCGATAAGATCATGTAGGACTTTGTAGACTATAAAAACAAACTTGGCCTTGGCCGGTTTGGTTCAGCAATTAGAGCGTTGGCCCGCAGACCAGAGAGTCCTAGGTGCAGTTCCTGCTAAGGGCATGTACCTTGGTTGCGGTTTGTCCCCGGCCCTGGTTGGTGTTGTGTGGGTGGCAACCAGTTGATGTGTCTCTCTCACATGGATGTTTCTCTCTCTCTTCCTCCCGCTCTATCTGAAGATAAATGCAAAAAATGTCCTCAGTTGAGGATAAAAAAAAGAACCTAAACTTATTCTAAGTCTAAAGGGAAGCAACTGGAGGGTTTTGAGCATAGAAGTAACAGAATATACTTAGCCTTGCTGGTTTGACTCAGTGGTTAGAGCACTGGCCCACGGACCAATGAGTCACGGGCTCAATTCCAGTCAAGGGCACGTACCTTGGTTGCGATTTGTCCCCAGCCCTGGTTGGGGTTGTGTGGGAGGCAGGCACTCGATGTGTCTCTTTCATGTCAATGTTTCTCTCTATCTCTCTTCCTCTCTCTCCCTCCCACTCTATCTGAACAAAAAAAAAAAAGGAAAAATGTCCTTGGTTGAGAATAAAAAAAAAAAAAAAAGGAACATTGGCTGCTCTGGGAGGGGGTAGGGCAGGGTTAGAACTAGAGACACTAGTTAAAAGACTCATTATGGTGGACAAGTAGAAGGTAATGTTTCTTATGCTTCCAGATAGGATGTAATAGATTATGACAGTGCAATGTTGCTAATGCAACAACTAGAAAAAGTCAGATAAAATTATTGTAAATAGCCTGGCTGGTGTAGCTCAGTGGTTGAGCATCGACCCATGCACCAAGAGGTCACCAGTTCGATTCCCGGTCAGGGCACATGCCAAGGTTGTGGGCCAAATCCCCAGTGAGAGGCATGTAGGAGGCAGCCAATCAATGTTCTCTCTCATTGATGTTTCTATCTCTTTCTCCCTCTCCCTTCCTCTCTCTGAAATCAATAAAGAAAAAAAAATATTGTAAATAACACTGCAGTGTTGTAGAAATCACGAAGATTAGATGAACTGGAATTCCAGATCTAGGTGGGAAAGGCTTCTGAAGTAGTCAATACTGTTTTCTTTCCTGAGGGCATTTGTCAATTTGGGGTATGAATTTAGGATTAGGGTTGGTCTGTGAGAGGAACTCTATTGGAGGAAAGAGAAATCAGAGAGGTTGCTGTGATAGATTGGAACTTGAGGAGTTCTATGTGTGTGGCCAGTTTTCCCTATGGGACATTTGCTGAGTTCTGAGTCTGTACACTGGAACTAGGAAGCAAGGCTGAGAGCTTCTAAAATGTAGACTAAAACTGCCCATAATCTTGAGGTTTTAGGAGTCAAGGTCCCACTAAAAGGCGGAGCTCTATCTCAAACACATAGCTGATTTTCTCTTCAAGATTTTAAAATTTTAAGAAAAGGAGAAGTCAAAGAACTAAGCCCTATTTCTCAAGGGTAAGACAATTTCTTGTAGTTTTTCAGGGATGAGGAGATGGAGATCTATCAGGTTCTCAATCAAGAGCCCAAGGAGGTCCATATATAAAAAACAGGGATATTTTTACTGGGTATAGAACTCTAGGTTGGCTGTTTATATATTTTAGCCCTTTAAAGATTATATATATATACACATATACATATATATAATCTGTAGTTCTATACCCAGTGAAAATATCCTCCAAAATTGATGGTGAAATAACATTTTCAGACAAATTAAAGCTGAGAGAACTTGTCACCAGCAGATGTAAACAAAAGGAAGTTCTTCAGGCTGAAGGAAAGTAATCCCAGATAGATGGATGGAACTGCAGGAAGGCATGATGAACATAAGAAAGGATAAATATGATATAGATACAAAAAGATTATTGACTCTTTAGAACAAGAATTTAAAACTAGCTTACAGGGCTTACACTATATATTAGTAAACTATATGAAAGCAATAGCACAAAGGATGAAAGTAGGGGATAAATGGAGCCAAACTTTGTTAAAAACTTTGCATTATTTGGGGAGTGCTTAGAGCACATATTTAAAAGTTCAGGATGCATATTTTCATAGGGTAACTAATTAAAGACTTATATAAGAATATATCACTAACAGCTAAGGAGAGAAATATGGAATAATAAACATGCTTGACTGATCCAAAATAAGGCAAGAAACAAGGAACAAAGAAATGAGAAAGAACTTACACAAAGAGAAAACAAAAAGTAAAATGATAGACTTAAACCCAAATATATTAAATACAAGTTGATTAAGTAAAACAATAGGAAAAGATGAACATCCCAAACCCCAAACACTTCAGAACCTAATTATATCAGTTTATAAGAAGACCCTGAAATATAAGGACACTTGAAATATGACACAGGACAAAAAAAAAAAAAAAACAGATGGAAAAAATATATACCCTGGAAACATTAAATAAGAGTTCATGTGACTATATTATAATCTTTAAGGCAAGATGCATGACGACGAAAAAGGGGCATTCATCAAGATAAAATATAGTCATATGCTGCTTAACAATGGGGATACTTCTGAGAAATGTGTCATTTTTTGTTGTGTGAACATCATAGAGTGTATTTACACAAACCTAAATGGTATAGTCTATTGCTCATAGGCTACAAGCCTGTAAGTAACTGTAATACAATGATATTTGTATAGCTAAACATATCTTAAAAGTGAGTAATACATGAGTAATGTGTTGTGTTATGAAGGCTATGACATCACTAGGCGACAGGAATTTTTCAGCTCCATTATAATCTTGTGGGACCACCTTTGTATATGCAATCTGTTGTTGATGAAAACATCATTATGTGGCTCATGACCATAGTCAATTCTAAAGAAAGCTATAATAAACTTAAATTTCTATGTACCTAATAATACAAAATATGTAAAACAAAAGTTTAAAGAACTAAAAGGAGAAATAGACAATTCCGTAATTATGAATTTGAGTTTTTAACCTCTCTTTCAATAACTGATAGGTCAAGAAGTTGAAAAAAATCAATAAGGATAGAAAATATTTGAATAATACAATTAACCAACTAATAACATAACTAAATAACCAACCACCAACCTGATACATACAGGACATTACATCCAATAAGTGTAAAATATATATTCTTTTCAAATGCTAATGAATGTGTGGGGTAAAAAAGTGATCCTCAATGAAGTTAAAATAACTGAAATAATACAGACTATGTTCTCTAACTACAGTAGAAAGTAAATAGAAATCAAGACCAGAAAATAATTAGAGAAACCCAAAATGCTAAGAAATTAAGAGGCATATACTTGTAAACAACTCATATATTAAATAAATTAAAACAGAAATAGGAACATTTTTGGAATTTGAAATTCATGGACATATGATATGTCCAAATGTGTCA